ATAAACCTGTGAAGGATCCCTGTAGCCGTGTCATTGTTATAGTACTGCTGTTAAGAAGGCCACGGTACTGTAACACTGCATTTAATTTTATATTTTAATTAGTTTTATATAACAAGTATTTTAACACCTTATATATAATTAGAAACTAATTAAAAAATTTACTTTATTTTTTTATAAATATTCTTAAATATATACAAGAACTTAAACAAACTTAAAACTTTATATCAAATATTATATATATATATATTTTTTAATTTAGCTATTCTGTCTTTGTTTATTTTGATTTAGTTATATCTGAAGTTCTAAGAACTTCTTCTATAATATTAATGATCTAATCTTCAACAAAAATCTATCTAAACAAATATACAGATGTAGTACTTAGTTTTTCTCCAAATCTAAAACTTATTAAGAACTTTTTTTTATTAATCATAAGCTAGCAACTATACACCTATTAGCAGTATTGGCAATTTTTAGCGATCAAGTGATTTTGTTAGCTATTGGCCAATCTTTGTCTAGCCTGCCAAAAAATAGCCAAAATTTTGCAATCAAAATTGATTGGCAATTGGTGGTAGCCAAACTAAAAGCTTTGGCCTATATGGTCAATTGGCTGTGGCCAATTGGCTAATTGGCCAAAATTTAAATGCAATTAGAATATATTCGATATATAAATATATATATATATATATATAAGCGAATACAGTGTAAAAAATCTAAGATCTTTAATAACTTAATAGTTAAATTTTTTATTAGCAGCTTACTTAAGCTTCAGAGTATGTATATGTATAAATAATTATTATTAAAGTACTTTTCTTGATATATAAAAGATTAAAAATTCTAAGCTTCTTGCACTTAATTTAGATTGATAATTTAGTGTTAGAAATATTTATTTTGAATATACTACTAGTTAGAGCTATGATATAATTAATAAAAGTGGATGATACAATTTGCTTGGTTAGTATTAGAAAGGCTTCCACAAAGAAAGTCTTAAATGTTAAAAAAAAGCTGTATAGAATTGTATGATATATTTTTACATACATATATACATATAATTTTTAGATTTTCTGCTCTGTATACATGTAAGTATACATGTATTATAAAAGTAAACTCATTACTGCAGATAATATAATATCTGACGCAATAATGATTGTTAATTTCCTGATTCTGCTCAAAATTGTGCATATAATGGATATCCAAGTTAAGCTTTAGCATATGAAAGTATAATATTTAAATAAATTTAGTCTGATATCGAAAAAATTTTCTAATTAGTTTCAAAACCTATTATAAAACTTTTAAATATATATTCTTGTTTGAATAAGTTAGCATATTAATAAAGGTATATGAAGTATTAAAATAAAATATTAGAATATACAATACAACTATTTAAAATTATTTCGATCTTGCAAAGGCGAATTAAATATTATACTATAATGAGTAAGAAGAACTTAAATATTCTTGTTTGAACAAGTTAGTATAAGTTTCATTTATTGATAAAGATATGTAAAAGAGTTATGGAGTATTATTAACACCAACTCATTATTTAAAGGCTTAAATATTATATTATAATGAGTAAGAGGAAATTGATAATTGGTAAAAAAAAAAAGGAAGCCATCTAGATTTGTGATAGTATGAAAATCTGTAATTATATATTAGAGAAATTAGTTATAAAGAATCTAAATAACATAATAATATCAAATAAGTACTTAACTAGCTAATTTTCATATCAAATTTTTATAACGATAATCATTGTTCTTAATAATAAACAATGTTAAGACATAAATTTAGTTGTTATATTGAAATTCTTGAAGAAAAAGCTAATAAATGGCGTAATTATACAATTTGCTGTGCTTGCTGTGATGCTATTGATAAAGCAGCTGCCATACTTCATAAATTTTTAAATAAAAGTGATCGAGTAAAGAATTATTTAAAAAAATGCAAGAATTTTATTGATGAACAAGGTAGTAAAGAAGCAGTATTAAAATTATTAAGTATTGACTTAGAAAAGGAGAATGAAGAATTAGATACAATTGTTGGTACCAAAAAGTCTTGTTTAGAACAAAGTGGTAAATAGAATTTAACTTATGCTATAATAATAATTTTATAATAATCTAAAAAAACTTTTTATAGATAAAGGATTGCTGAACAAATATGTTATTCGTTCTTTATCAAAAAGTGACAAAAAAATTTGAAATTCTCTTATTATATGCAACTGTATCTGCAGGAATACCATTGTGATGGGTGCAAAATATGGAAGTTCAAGAATTATTTCAGTTTATAAATCCTACTTTAAAATTACCTGGACATCGAGCATTAGGTGGGAGAATTTTAAATAAAAAAATAGAAAAAATTAACAATATCACAAAAATAAAGCTTAAAAATAATTCTGTTGGTCCAACACTTGCTTTTGACAGTTGGACCAACGTAATTAACCAAAATATTATAGAGGCAGTTTTTATTATACCTGAAGGTGAAATTTTAGTTTGGAAAGAAATAGATGTTAGTGGTGAAAGAGAAAGGTTGAAAGAAGTTATAGAAAAAATTGAATGGATGTTTACTGAGATCAGTTAATTAGAAATAAAACTAATTGCAGTTGTTTGTAATAGTGCATCTTCATATACTGCAGCGAGGTATATAATAATATAATTAAATTTTATTAGGTTTTTTAAAAAATTAACATTTTAATAAATATAGACATCATCTTCAATTAAAGTACATCAATATTTCTTTTTTACCTAGTTATGCTCACCAAATAAACTTATTTATAGGAGAAGTTTTTAAAGAATCAAGTGAATTTCATCAAATAGCCATTAATGCAATTAAAGTTGCAGCTTATTTTCATTCTGCACAGCATAAGTATTTTATTGGTCAATTAAAAATTTACAAAAGGAATTTTATAAAAACTATATATTATTGGCAATTGGTAATGCTACATATTAGAACAGTTATCTAGAATATTTTCTTTCATTGCTTAAATCAAAATCTGCATTAAGGTTATAATGAAATTTTGTATTTGATTTTATTTTAATAAATTAAATACTTATATATGATATTTTATTTTATCATATCAGACACTAGCTTCTAAATTTGATCTCTTTGAACCGTTAAATAATAATACATTATATCTTGCAGAAAATATCATGTTGATTCTTTTAGATAAAACTTGGTGGCATGCATTACAAAAACTTATTAATATTTTGACTCCTTATAGTATTATCAATAATTACCTTTAAAAAAACACAGCTCGTTTATATGAGGTTCTATATGAGTTTGGCTATTTTATAGGATTTTGGAAAAGTCATGAAAATCCTAAACTTGGACAGCAAATGTTGCATCAGTTAGAATCTAGATGGAAGGAATGGAAGCAACCACTTCTTCTATTATCTTGGCTCCTTCATCCAGAATATTAAATGACAAAATTTAATTCTAATATAATCAACCTTAATCATATATATTTTAGTAAATGGTTCATATATTATTATGAAGCTTGGTCATATAATAAAGCTCATTCAATTTTACGTGAATATAAAAACTTTTGAAGCGGCATATTTCCTTTTGACAATTTGTCAATTGATCATTTCAAAAAAGATGTCTTCAAATTTTGGACTTGGCCTGCACCAACTGCAAAAGAACTTTCTTTTGTAGCACAAAAAGTATTTAGAATTTGCATAAATACAGCTTCAGTAGAACAGTTGTGATCATGCATAAGTTTTTTTCATACTAATTGTCGAGCCTGATTAGACATAAGTATACTATAATTATATATCTATTAAATAAATTTAAACTAATTTATGTTTATAATATAGTTTCAAAAAGTGTTAAATATAAGCAAACTTTGGGCCTCAATTACTTATTAGCATCAATTAGATAAAACAAATTTTAGTAATTTTGATGAAGGGTCTGAAAGTAAAATCTCTTCTAACAATGAAGAACAAGTACCGAATGAAGAACAAGTATTGAATGAAGAATAAGTACCAAATAAAGGACAAGTACCAAATAAAAAACCAAATAAAAATAAAGAATTAGAAAATTTAGAGAATGAAATGAACGTGGATGAATATGTTGCAGATTTTAATTTTTATGTTAATGAATAGGAAAAATTACTTGATCAAGAAAAAAAAGCACAAATAGATGCAAGTGCTGATTTGGATTATGATTTAGAAGCAAATATTGACAATTATTTACTTACTCATATACATCCCGCAATGGACATTAAAGCAAAATGAAATATTTATGAAATATTTATTGATAATTTGGAAGCACCTTTCAATATTAAATAATATTTATATAACATATATTAAATTTTAAATAGACTAACTCTTCCCAATGATCACTTATACCAAATTTTCTCTAAAAACAATTGCACTTTTCTCAATATTTTACTAAGTAAACCTATTCTGACTGTCTAAATAAAATTGTTTCTAACAAAATTTTACATATAGGTAGCCTAGTATTATATCTTCAAAGTCCTTCGTTAACAAGATATAACTAAATTTGATTTTTTGTTTATTTCTTAAAAAACTCAAAATTTTATACCAGGAACGGAGTGATGCAATCACGAAGTGTATGGTTTATATGCTGTTTAGAGTGAGATTTGTTCGCAAAATCTTAAGTTTGATTGGTCCGCATGACTTATTCGTCAAATTTTGGTTATTTTTCACGCATAAATGCATCACGCCATTATTCTGCATAGATTCATCACGGCTTATTATTATATCCTATCATAACCGCATATATGAGCAATATCACAGTTGCAATAACTAACGATAGTAAAAGCAAAAATTTTCGCCTCAAAAATTGGTGACCCGAT